ACAACAATTGCTACAGTGTCCGTTAAAGATTCTTTCACCTTGAAGCTCTGGCATAGCAGATTGGGTCACCCATTTGAGAAAGTTGTAAAGCTACTTCCTTTTCTTAGCAATTCTAGGGGTCATTTGAATAAAGATTGTGAAGTGTGCCATCGTTCTAAAAACACTAGGGACAAATTTTATTTAAGTGAGAATAAGGCAACCCGTATTTTTGTGATAGTACATTGTGATTTATGGGGGCCGTATACCGAACCCTCGTCTTTTGGTGCTCATTATTCTTTGCCTTTAGTAGATGATTATTCTTGTGCAGTTTGGATTTGTATATTGCTTGATAAAACAGAGGTCTTTAAAATGTTCATGTCATTTATAGCCATGGTTGAAAAACAATTTTCTCAAAAAATAAAAATTGCACGTAGTGATAATGACACAAAATTTTTTTTGCTTGAAAAATTATTTCATGGAAAATGCCATTGTGTTTCAAATCTCTTGTGTGGAAACCCCTCAACAAAATGGGAGAGTAAAAAAAAAAAACACCAACACATCTTAAATGTTGTCCGTGCCCTTCGTTTTCGGGGGGTTACCAATTTATTTTTGGGGGGAGTGTGCCCTTGCAGCTGCTCATATTATTAATCGTACACCGTCTGTCATTCTTGATGATAAAACTCCTTATGAAATGTTATTTGGCAGCCCACCTTTGTTTAGTGAATTGCGTGTGTTTGGCTCCTTGTGTTTTGCACATAATCAAAAGGCAAAAAGAGACAAATTTGCGAGCCGTAGTCGTAAATGTGTCTTCGTGGGCACCCTTTCGGGAAAAAGGGGTGGTATTTGTTTGATCTAGACAAAAAGGAGTTCTTTGTTTCAAGGGATGTACGATTTTTTGAGGATGTATACCTAAATTTGGATGCTGAGGGCACCAATATTGACAATGCCATTGATAATTCTCATGCTAGTATTTATAGCGGAGGAGCTATGGATTTTTTTAATGCTATAGAGGAGGATGATGGGGGTCAGAACATGGGTCGCAACCTGAACGTGTTGCGCCAACACCTCAACAGGTTGCTACCTAACCTCACTCACCCTCCACAGCATCTTCACAGGGAGAGAAGTCTGAGGGTGGTAGGCGGTCGTACACCCACAAAAATAATAAAAGCCTAACTAATCCTCCTAATATGTAGTAGGGTAAGTTAGGGTCGATCCCACAGAGAAGGTATTATCAACATTGGTTTGCTATGAATAATAATAGTTGAGTTAAATAAACATAGGGTTGGAATTATTATACTATTACTAACAAAAGAAAATCAAATAATAATAACATCTAGAATTAAGTATCACCACTAGCATAATCAATACAAGAAAAATTCTTACCCCAATCAATCAATTATATGTTCACAAGGAAAGGCACACCCTATAAAATACCAAAGATCTCTCCCGAGTTGTCAATGACTTCCTTAATCAACAATCAAACCTACTTCCGTGGAATCATGCAAATTAAAGACATTAAGTCTGGCACTCTAACTTCCTAACAATCCATTCTACCTACTTCCGTGGTGAATTTCATACCCTTAATTAATCTATCTAAATCCGTCAAAACCCAACTTCTGTTGCGGTCAAGACAAAGGAATAATAACAATACCAATTATCCCTAATCTAGTACTGGCATAAGCACAATCAATTAAGCATGAACAATATAAACAATTAATTGAGAATTTAAGAGAATAAATCAAGTATCAATCATGGCTAGGGTTCAACCTAACCCTAGAATAAAATACTACTCAAACATAATCAAAAGATTAAAGGAGGATAACAAACTCTAAAATTTCTAATCAAGTGGATGGTTGCTTGCGGCAGAACCCCCTTTATTAACCCCTAAAGATAAGCTATATTTAAGCATTAACATTAAGGAATTAAAGTGGAATTAGGAGTCTTCAAAGTCGGCAAAAACTTATCCAAAACGCTGCATTGAAGCTAGCCACGACCTGCCCGTGGCCATTGAAGTCGAGCCACGGCCTACCCGTGGTGTCTACTGCATTGGTGTATTTTTCTTGAGTACAAACGGAGGAGCCACGACCAACCCAAGGCTTAATGCAACAAGCCAGGACCAGGCCAAGGCAAAGCAATTTCCACACTATGCTCATGAAAATGCAACTTCTGCAATCTTGGAATGTGATCATATGATGTCAAACTCATAATCTTCTAGATGTTCCTAACTCAACTTAGCTTTCAAATGCGCTCTTCTAGGCATAAATCCTACAAAACAAAGAAAGAAAGCACGAGGAGAGCAATATCAAAATATAAAGAAAAATAGCTCTAAAATATTAAATATATAGAGAAAATATGATATAAACACCCAAATATAACATACAAAAATGAGTATATAAATGTGTTATCAGAGGGTGCTACGGACACTGATAATATGGGACGTGGACATCGTCAAAAAATTCCATCAGTCAGATTACGGGATTCTTGTGACTCACACTCATGTATCAACGAATAGTCCATCCGCCAAATCATCCGATCCTATCTCAACACCTTCCTCAGGTATGCCTTATCCTATAGCACATTATGTTAGTTGTGATTAGTTTTCTGTGAAACACCAAAATTTTGTTACAACAATAACAGCAAGCAAAGAGCCACGATCCTTCAAAGAAGCTATACAAGATGAAGGATGGAAGATGGCCATGAAAGAAGAAATGCGTGCCCTTGAAAATAGTGGCATGTGGACGTTGGAGAAATTGCCACCTGAGAAAAAGGCCCTTGGTAGTTAATGGTTGTACAAAATTAAGTACAACTCTGATGGAAGTATTGTGTGTTTGAAAGCACGATTGGTTGTCTTTAGTAACCATCAAACCGAAGGCATAGATTATGATGAAACTTTTGCCCCGGTAGTTAAGATGACAATTATTCGAGCATTTCTTGTTATTGCCGCCTCAAAGAACTGGGAATTGCATCAGATGGATGTCCACATTGCATTCGTTCACGGTGACTTAGATGAGGAAGTGTACATGAAACTTCCTCTGGGCTTCAGTTCTGATGAACCTGGTCTTGTTTGTCGTCTACGCAAATCCTTATATGACCTTAAACAAGCCCCTCGATGTTGGTTTACTAAGCTCGCTTTGGCTTTGAAAAAGTATGGTTTTCTACAATTGTACTCAGATTACTCCCTTTTTACTTATACCAAGGGGTCTATCCAACATAATGTACTTGTCTACGTTGATGATTTGATAGTTGCTGGGAATAATTCCGCTGCTCTGACTATATTCAAAAATTATTTGAGCACTTGTTTTCATATGTAGGACTTGGGTGTTCTCAAATACTTCCTCGACATTAAATTTGCTCGAAGTACCACAGGCTTGTTCTTATGACAATGTAAGTATGATCTTAATATAATTTCGGAAACAGGACTCATAGGTTCAAAGCCTGCTATCTCTCCTATTGAGCAGAACCATCATTTGGCACGGGCTACTGGTTCTCTGCTCACGGATCCAGAACCTTACCGTCGACTGGTCGGGCGTTTGGTGTAATTAGCTTTCACTCGTCCAGACTTAACGTAATCAGCCTATGTGCTTTCTCAATTTATGAAGGCACCGCAGCAAGAACATTGGGAGGCAGCATTACGAGTTGTCTGATATTTAAAGAGCACTCCAGGCCAAGGTATATTGTTGCGGTCTGATAGTGATCTTTCCTTACATGGCTGGTGTGATTCAGACTAGGCAGCCTGTCCACTCACACGCTGCTCTTTATTAGGTTGGTTGGTTTTCTTGGGCCACTCTCCGATAGCTTGGAAAACCAACAGGAAGCATCATAAGGTGGCTCGATCTTCTGCCGAGGCTGAGTATCGCTTCATGGCAGCCATAACGTGTGAATTGAAATGGTTAAAAGGCTTGCTATTAATCTCAGGTGTTCACCATCCACGTCCTATACCTATCGATGTGACAGTCAGGCTGCTATACACATTGCACAGAACCCAGTCTTCCACGAACGCATGAAGCATATCGAGGTTGACTGCCATTTTGTTTGTGACGCCATTCAAGATGGTCTTATTACCACTACGCATGTGCCAACATCAGAACAACTAGCTGACATATTTACGAAGGCCTTGGGAAAACAACAATTTGATTATCTCCTTGGCAAATTGGGCATCTTTGATCCAAGTGCTCCAACTTAAGGGGGGTATTAGGAAAAGATATGATAGCATATTATTGTTAGGAAAAGATATATTTATTTGCTATATTGTTAATCTTATCTTAGGATAGTATGATTAGTTTCCTATTGTAATAAGACCTCTACCTTGCTGTTCAAGGCGCAATAGAGAAGGTGTATAAATATTTTGGCCATGGTGAAATAAGAGGATTGAGCCTTTATGCACATATCTTAACATGGTATTTGAGCCCTTTCTACTACCCTAAATTTTTTAGAGTTGCGTTCGGCACTCCAGCGCAACTTTGAGAGTTGCGCGCACCACCTGACGCCGCGGCTCTAAAACCCTAAACCTAGATTACTACGTCTATAAATAGGGGTCTTCATTAGCCCTAATGACAAAAAAAAAAACAAAAAAAAATCAGAATTAAAAAAAACCTAGAATTCGAAAGCCCTAATCCCTCAAATTCTTTTACTATCATACTACTTTTCTCCTTTCTTCCTAAGAGCATCCTCAATAGGAGTACTCTAATTCCTTAATTTTTCACTCTCTCTCCTATTCTCCTTTTGATACATCATGTACTTTTTCCTATACCCCACTTTCTACTATCTACATACTCTTTATTTTCCTCCTCCTCTATAATTTCCCACAACAAGAGTATCCTCTTGTAATACTCTTTTATTCTCTCTCTTACTTTTATGTATATCTCACTACATTGTACCTATTATTATTTATTAAATTTATTAAGTTTAATTATATTAAAAATGTGTGTTAGTAAATTTTAAATATATAGATAATATTTAAAATAGTAAAATACCAAACATTTGAAAAATACTAAAATACATTAAATAATAACATTCAATAATAACCAATAATCGACATGAAATTGAAAACTACATTAAATAAGAGAAAGAGACATTAAATTTAAATTAACATCAAACATAAACAATAATGATAACAATACTGATCTCCTTTTTTTACATACAATGTTTAATTCAAATTCGGTCCTTGAAACTTTCTCCAAACATGTTCAACCAAATCTTTCTTCAATGACATATGCATTTGTTTGTTGTGAAGCTCTTCCCTTTTTTCCATAAATCTGCTTAAATCTCGCTCCACATACTCGTATCTTTCACGACTAACAAGGATAGGCCCACGAATTAGCGTTTTCACTTGATGAACTAGCTAGTGTCTCGGGTTGTTCTTTAGCAAAATCACTACATGGATCTTGATAATTTCGATACATATGTTGTTCATCTTCTACAATCATGTTATGCATTATAATACATGCCATCATAATTTTCCATAATACTTCAAGGTGCCATGCCAAAGCAGGATTTCTTATTATTGCAAATCGAGCTTGAAGTACTCCAAATGCACGCTCCACATCCTTCCTAGCACTTTCTTGTTTCTTAGTAAATAACTTTTGTTTAGCAGTCTGGGGAGCAGTTATGGCATCAATGAAACCTGCCCATTTTAGATAGATACCATCTGTTAGATAGTAACTTATAGTGTACGTTTTTCCATTTACAATGTATTGAACTTTTGGAGCTCGTCCAATTAGTAAGTCATCGAATACCGATGATCGCTGCAAGACATTGATATCATTATTTGACCCAGGTGTCCCAAAAAATGCATGCCAGATCCATGTATCCCAAGAAGCAACGACTTCTAAGATTACAATTGCCTCTCTATCTTCCTTGATACATGTCTCTCCACCCTGCTCGACAGTTTTTCCATTGCCAATGCATGCAATCAATGCTCCCAAGCATGCTAGGAAAACCACGTCTTTCTCCTTCACAAAGGAGACGATATATGTCATCAGAATTTGGCTTCCTCAAGTAAACTGCAGAGAAGCTATTAATAATTCCCTCAACAAAATGAGTGAGACACTCTCTTACCGTACTTGCGCCAAACTTGAGGTACTTATCAACATGGCCAGCTGATGTGCCGTATGCTAACATTCTTATTGCCGCGGTGCACTTTTGCAAGTTTGAAGCACCTAGTTTCCCAGTGGCATCCGGTTTTTGCTTAAAATAATCGTCAACTTCGGGTAGGGTATTCACAATGCGCATAAAAACTGGCTTCCGCATGTGAAACCTTTGCCGAAATTTTTCATCATTGTAGAGTGGCGTGTTACTAAAGTAACCCTCCATCAAGCATTTGTGAGCCCCTTCGCGATCTCTTGGCACATAGTCCCTCGACCTTGGTCGTGAACTCTCAGTTGTGGGTTGTTGAACAGTAGAGGTAAGCACTTCTCTTATTGCATCCTCCACCTCTTGTATATGTTGGTTTTCCTGAATTAAATCCATCAACATCCAATCACGTATTTCATCACTAGAACTTGATGAACCTGAACCGAAGTCAAAGTTCGTTTCGTATTGTGAAAATATGAATATTTTATAATATTTGCAAGAAATTTGAGATTTGCACGGAAGGAAAGTAAATGTATTAAGTATAATGTGAAGTGAACCTTTAAATTTATCAAGTGAAAATAAAATTACAGATAAGATTTTATTGAATATAGAAGATAAGATTGTAAAAATATAGAAGATAAGATAAGATAGTAAAATTTAAGGGCCGAGATTTACTGGATATCTTCTGAAGATAAGATTGAAGATATCTTATCATATATGTTGGATTTCAATTAAATGAAACACTCAAACTATTACAAGGCACGTTAGGTACATCATCAAGCTATGTCAGAAATTATGTGATATGACATGACATACTGTAAAGCTTATAAGATTTTTTTATTTTGTTTTTAATTAATATAAATAATAATATATTTAACATACATGAATTGGAACTATATATATATATTACAATAACATTTAGTTTGATCTAAACAATAACATACAAATTAACTAAAATATCTTGCAATAACATTGGAATTTAACTAAAGCCGATAGAATACAATATCATTTAAACAATGAAATTGTAACAAGCCTAGAAACCTATAACTAACACTAAATAAATCTACCCCTAAATTCATTTTTCAACTTTTGATACAATTCTTCATCATCGTTGTCACGGTTAGGATTTGCCACTAGTATGCTGAATATTCTAATCTTTGTCTCCTCCTCCATTTGTCTTTTTCTGTCTTCACTTCGCTCTTTGATTAAAGAATACATCCTTTCTCCTTGTTCGTGCCTCTTGAGACTAGACTCATCAAGAGTAGAGGTCAAACTATCAATGTTGATAGTAGAAGAAGTAGCCTTCTCCTTACCTTAACTCTTCATCTTCTTAACTCCATCAGGTCGATTTTCTTCACTATCGTTTGTTAAATAATCGGACCCTGATCGTTTACTTCCTCGACTATTAGAAGGTAGTAGCATGGTTCCAGTACCCCATTTCTTTTTTTTCCTCATAATTTGCCAACAATGTGTCAACATAAAATATTTACCATACTACTTGTGAAAACTTTCTTGGGCATGCATCTTTATATCTTTCTCCGATTCTCCACTCTGTGGTGGGTTACATCGGATTACTGAGTAACATCCAACCCATTTTCCTTATTCAATTTGTTTTAGTTTATCTATTTTCCTTAGTTTAATTCTCATAAAAAACAAATTAGTTACTTGATAATTTAAATTATATTAATTAATTAGGAATAGAAAGACTTGTTTCCCTGTGGATTCGACCCTACTTCCCTATCTATTTTAGTTAGTGGTCCTAGAAATTACTTTTGATTAGGTGATACGACTTTAGCTTGTCAAAATTTGGCGCCATTGCCGGGGAAACGGTTTTATTTTTATTCCTGATTATTTTTGTAGTCTAGATTTAGTACCAGAGAACGCAAGTTCTTTGGGACAGTTTCTCATATATGTCGGTTTAGTTCTGTGTTTATGCCTAGGAGTTCTAGATCAGGTTACATTCCATTCGATCCTGAAATGGAACGTTCTTTTCATAGACAGAAGACATTTACGAGTTACTTCCGAGGGTAATACACCTTTGGAACCCCCATCTGATTCTAGTGACACAGAAGTTTCTTTAGAATTAGAATTAGAGATGACGGCTCAACTACCTCACAAGCTCAACAATTATTTGCAGCCGTCCCTAACAGATTTTCCACACCTTGCTCCCACACCAAATCTTGAGGGGGTACAATTCGAGATTAAACCCCAGTTTATTACTATGATCGAAAGGATGCAATTCGGCGGAGCTAAGGGTGAAGATCCAAATCTTCACATCTTGGATTTTTGCCAATATTGCAACACTATTAGACAAGCTGGGGTCACGCAGGACCAAATCAGGGAGATTCTTTTTCCCTTTTCTTTATGTGGTAAAGCTAAATTGTGGTACAATGGATTGAATAGAACTGCACTTGGTATTACTGACTGGGAAACTCTAGCTTTGAATTTCTATAATAAATACTACCCTGCACAGAGGACAGCTTTGTTAAGGAGTTCAATCAAAAAAAATTCCCAAGAAGCAGATGAATCTTTATATGAAGCTTGGGAAAGATTTAAGGATTTGCAGAGAGAATGCCCCATCATGGGCTATCACAGTGGAAGATAATGCAAGCTTTCTACAACGGGCTTGGATATAATTCAAGAATGATTTTGGACTCTACAGCTAACGGAAGATTTATGAATTTGGATGTGAATATGGCGAGCAATGTTGTTGAAGAGATGGCTATTCATAATTCCCAATATGGGAATCCCATAGGATTTGCAAATAAGGGAAAACACCAAGTCAATTCTATATCCTTTTTGCAAGCACAATTGACTGCTATTATCTAGAAACTAGACAATATTAATAATTCTAATTCATCTCCCGTTGCTAATGTTTCTGCTATTGGTACTAACTCTGCAATAATCTGTGAAAATTGTGGTCTTGTAGGTCATTGGGCGCAGGGATGTACTAGTTCGCTGGAGAAGAATAATGCTTTTCAGACCTATAAGCAAACTAGTCCATACTCTAACACCTACAATGCAGGGTTAAAAAATAACCAAAATATGTCGTACAATGGTACGAATGTGCTTAACCCCCCACCACAGGTACAACAACCACAACAGAGGTACTACCAACCTCCACATCAAAGACCGTAACAGATTGTTACTCTTCCTTATGAAAATGGCTTGTCAGAAATCAAAACAATGTTAGTTAATATGCAGAAATAGATGCTAATTAGAGATGCGCATATTGACTCGATCCTAGCACATAATAAAATCATGGATAATCAAATTGCGCAACTTTCCTCTACTCTGCAAACTCGCCAGCAGGGAGCCCTACCATCCCCAGCCAGTACAACCTACAGATCACGTGAATACAATTACTCTGAGAAGTGGTTCAAAATACGATGGGCCTTCTATGCCCAAAGATGATGAACCTACCATTACAAAAATTGCTAATCCTGATTTTGTTTTCCCAAATAGTGTTGTTACTAGTCCTGCAGGGCTCCATGGTAAAACTAACATTTCTGATGATACATTGCAGGGTATAACTCCAAAGAAAGTTACAACTCAAGACAAGAGTGGAGGTGTATAGAAACCAGTTATCAAACTACCATCCCCTAATAGACATCTTAAGAGTAAGCTAGATAAGCAGTTTGGTAAGTTTCTGGAGGTTGTCAAGAATTTGCAAGTAACGGTTTCTTTCATAGAATTAATTACTCAAGTTCCTGCATACTCTAAATTTATGAAAGAAATTTTGACCAGAAAAAGATCTATTAGTGTGGTTGAGACAGTTGCTTTTACTGCAGAATGTAGTGCTATATTACAAAATAAATCTCCACCTAAACTAAAAGATTCGAGTAGTTTTTCTATTCCTTGTCATATTGGTAATCTGATGATTGATAAAGTTTTATGTGATTTGGGTGCTAGTGTAAGTGTTATGACGTTATCTATGAGCTCTAAATTAAATATGGGTAAATTAAAAGCTACCAATATTACTCTGCAAATGGCTGATCATTCGATTAAATACCCTTTAGGTGTTTTAGAGGATGTTCCTGTTAGAGTAGGTAAATTTTATATACTTGTTGATTTTGTTGTTCTTGATATGGAGGAAGATTTGCAAATTCCGATTATTTTGGGTAGACCATTCCTTTATACTGCAGGGGCAATAATTGATGTGAAAAGTGTACATTATGTGTAGGGGATGATATTATTACTTTTAATCTAAATAATGTCCCTAAAATCCCCATGTTAGAGGAAAAGTGCTTTAATTATTAGTGTGCTTGATGTAAATAATTTTTCTATTAAGTCCCAAGCTCTCGTTAGAGATCCCTTGGAGGCGGTATTTTGTGTTGGATCTTCCACATGAAAAACTACTACATGAAAAGATGAAGTGAATTCTATAGAAAGAGCTCTAAATTGTGCAGGGCTTGGGTTTGAAGATGAACAAGTGGAGAAAAATGAGCAAATTGAAAAAAATCGGACTCATAGTGCTGTAGCGCGCCCGACCAAGCGAACACCCGCCCGACCGAGCGCGAGAGGAAGTCCGTATGCGACCACAAATTGCCCTACCGGGCGAGACCCGCCCGACCAAGCGCGAGAACAAAGATCGAAAAAAGAATTAATTTCGCCCGCCCGGGCGGACATCCGCCCGACCGGGTGCGAGAGCGTGACAGCAAAACTGACAAACTTCAAAAAGCCATAACTTTTGCGTTTCTTAACGAAATTTTGCGTGTGACCTATCGTTGGAAAGCTCTTCAAGTCTACTTTCCAAAAAAATTAAAATCGCTGCATTATAATTTATATAAAAAAAGTTATGATCAAAATAGTGAACCTGACTCGTTTTTGCTTCTTTTCCTACTAACATTTTGTTTCTTTCTTGCTCAAAATTGTACCAAAGTGATGAACTGTGATGCTTGGGATGGTGGTGGCTACGAGTTTGATGATGAGGGGTAGTCACTTGGGTTACTAACTTCTCTTTAAGCTAATGAGGATATTGTCTGATTTAGCTTGGGGGGAATATCTTGTATATATAGGTACTTTTTCTTTCCCTTTTCTTTTTATTTTCTTTGGTGTGCTTAGTTTTTTTTTCTTTGCTTTCATAGTATAGCTTTTATTTCTTTCTAGTGTAGATTTTATTGCTTTGAAAAAATAAAAAATCTAAAAATACGTTCCAATGAATTATGAATCATGCTTCCCTGTGCCCCATACATGAAAATTGTTTTGATTTGATTCTGATGATGAGTATTGTGGGTAGGTTAGCCATAATTCGATGTTTGATTGCTTGGATGTCTTAACATGAGTCAATTTTGACCAACTATTTGGGGATTTGGTGCTTGGCTAATTGATTTGGTTAGGAATTGTGTGTTAGTTCATGGTGTGTCAGTGAAGTTGAGTATTGGTTTGCATCTTTGAGTAATGTTTGTATGGCTCCCTATTATGTACATTGAGGAGGACGAAGGCATTTGTTCTTTTAGGTGGCCTTTAGATGATTTTGGATACATTTGTTCCCTTCTTGCTACCCATGTTGTTGCCTTGACTTTTTATTGTTTATTAGCCACATTAAAAGCCGATTTTTCCTCATTGGTTACTAGTC